CATCTGTGCTCTTAGGTTTCCTTATAAGGACTTTTATTGGCTTACGCATCGGACCAATGTTGTACTTGCAAGGTCAAAGAAGATTATACACTCTTGGTAGAGATTTCACAGGAAAATAGACCATCGGCAAGCTTTACAGACCGTTTTTTATTTTAAACGCTATTTTTGCATTGGCCCAAGCAAAAGTTCTTATTAGGCGCCGCGGAGCAAAAGGCTATGTCTGTCTCTTCGTCTGTTTCTCGACGAAAGCCATTCACCTTGAAGCTACCAGCGACCTTAGCACCGCGTCCTTTCTAGACGCTTTCGCAAGATTCGTTGCTAGACGAGGATGTCCAAAAAACGTTTACTCCGACAATGGTACTAACTTTGTCGGAGCCTCACGATCTTTACGATCGGAATTCAAAGCATTTTTAGCTGAGGCACGCAATAGCACCCTCACTAAGTACAGCCATCAAGCCTTAGTGGCATTTCATACCCGCTGCGGCCCCTCACATGGACGGTTTGTGGGAAGCTGGGATGAAAAGTTTCAAAACCCACTTTAAAATGGTCGCGTCCGACCACAAATATACTTTTGAAGAGTTCACCACACTCTTATGCCGTATTGAGTCTTGTCTCAACTCACGACCACTAAGCCCCTCTTCAGACGAACCGTCTGACCTGGAGCCGCTTACCCCCGGTCATTTTCTGGTCGGCGGGCATCTTCTTGCCCCACCCGAAATCGATGTAAATGAAAGTCCAGCCTCAATCGTAAATCGATGGCAGAAACTGAAGGCCCTACACCAGGCATTCTGTAGGAGATGGAAAATGGAATACCTCACCGAGATGCAGAAACGCATCAAGTGGAAACATCCACAAACCAACTTAAAACAAGGGGACCTGGTCGTTGTTAAAGAAGAAAACCTGCCACCAAACGAATGCAGATTGGGCAGAATAGTCAAGCTACACCCAGGTTCCGACAACCGAGTAAGAGTAGTCGACATCGAAACAGCTAAGGGAGAAATCAGAAGGCCAATTGCAAAATTGGTCCTACTTCCGCCCTACAACGAAAATAGCACCACCTCGCAGTAAACTTCCTACCTACTCTGTATTCCACTTCACAAAACCCACCTATTCCACTTCTTACTCCCTACGCAATCCCACATCTCAAATGTCAATGGCGTTTCAGAGTTCAGCATTCTCAAACACCAAATATTCCAGCAACAGAATTATCGCTATGAATAATTTCAAGAGCGCATCTCAAAAACATGAATACTTAAGTAATATAAAAGCATCTTCTGATTCCGTCACCCAGAGTTTTTATAGCATAATAACAAACTCCTATTTAAACACAATAACATAAGACACATATTTATATATGCCATATACATACATATAAGTATACATAGGCTTGTTATGACGACACCCATATCAGAACAGTATTTACTCAAACTCATCAAATTTTTGAAGGTAAACTCATTCATTGGTTTTTTTTATATGAATAATTCATATGCCGTTTTGAATGAATTCATGCAGCCCTCTACTTCGTATGCACGAAAAATTGTATTGCAGGGATTCAAATTAATAAAAATCAGTGTTTTTGCTCGACATTCGAATTTATTCTGTTTTCTATAAATTCGAATATTTTCATTCAACCGACGTTAAGATAATTGTTCCTATATTCTAATTTGCTGCTTAATTGCTTAATTTTTTTCTACAGTTCCTATCAAACGAAAGCAAAAACCAGAAATGAAGTTTCATGAACTATGTGGTAGTTTAAATCTACACTGCAGTCTTTATGTGCCTTTAGTTCACAAGATCATAAGAGACTGCATCTGGAATATCATGAGCTAAATTAGGGTGCATGAGCCATTTCAAAACCAAGACTGTAGCTTCCAGCGGCGGTAGAGTTGTGCAGCAGCCCAAACAAGACGATTCAAATTGTGTTTATTTGAGAGATTGGAGCCTTCTGCATTTGGGACAAACCCTACGCGTACACTACTTCCAGATCTAACGAATCTCAGAGCATTAATAACTCACGACCCTCGGTTTGTTCAATATCAGCAATAACCCAAATAGTTAGGAAGTGTAGTTTAGCGTTACCAATATTTTTGGTTGAATGTTTACCGATGAAATATTTTAAATTAGTCAAAAGAGTCGCCGTCATATCTCGATTTGAGAGTTGGCCCAGACCCCGCGCGCGCTGGCTTAGCCCGGTCTCGAACCCATAGTGAGGAAATTTTCTTTCGCCGTGCCAGGCCAAGTGGTGAAACTCACCACAAAACCACAAATTACACCTTTTACGAGATTACAAATTTCACGGTGTGTTCGGGGAAATAGTGATCGAAAAGTGTGTACTACATAAAGGTCTGTTCGATGCAAAAGCAAATGGCAACAAATGTAATGGAATAAAATCTTATAGCGATGGTCACCTTCCACAGATCTGTTTTAACCCAAATACGAAACCTTACGCTCAAAGTCATAGAAAATAAAGAAGACTTTAAGAGCTTTTTAAATTGAAGCTTTTTTATAAAAACGCCACTTTGTAGAGCTTTGTAAGTCTATTTATTTTTTAAGAGTAAGACCATTAGTCTATACTTAATACCGCACAACTACGCGGAGACTGAAAGTGTGAATTGGCCCAGTTTTGTACTTCACCAAGTCAAAACAAATTAAATAAATAAACAAATAGTATATATATATATATATGTACATAAGTATATCACACGTATATATAAAATGTGCTTTCACGAGATATACAGGCATACATATATTCGCCACTTGCCACCCAACCCAAAACTAACAGTACGTAACTTTTTACACCTACGGACATAACTACGAGACTCATTTACAGAATGACTCGTTTCTCGGCTAATCGCGCACATGCGGAAGAAAGCGCTGATAAATTCACGGTTCTATGCCGGCTATGCGGCGGAGCGCATGGCATTCGACTATGCCCCCTTTACCGCGGCAAAGCGGTCGAAGCAAGGCTGCGTGCAGTCCTGCTGCATAAATATTGCCCAAACTGCAACCGATGTCGCGAAAAGCATCACACCTCGCTCCATCTCGATGACTGCGAAGACCAAAGGCACCCAGCGAACGCGATCAACGACGGCGAGAGCTCGGACGGGGCACTCTCTATCGACGTTACGGAGCAGACGAAGTCGTGGGCGCAGCAGGTCCAACTCCTCCTGGAGGGGTCAGAGAGGACAGACTCTTCCCCACATGAGCGACAAAAGCGCAACTCTGGAACTGGCACACCGAGACCGTTAGACAAGTTACAACCACCCGCGGGCGACGCGGAAACTCGTTCTTTCCGCTCGCCAACGCGTGCACAACACAACTGGCGCGACGCGGAAACTCGTCCATTCCGCTCGCAAATGCGTCAGCAATACAACCGACGCGACGCGGAAACTCGTCCTTTCCGCTCGCAAACGCGTCAACAACACAACTGGCGGTAACACGGCGGCGCGGAAACCAGTCCTTTCCGCCCGGCATCACGATCGCAACGCAAGCCAAAACGACACGACGGCGCCGAAACTCGTACTTTCCGCTCGTCTAAGCGATCGTCTAGGCTACGCAAAGCAGCACCATACCACAAAACTCGCACAAACGACAGCAACATCAATAGTCGTGCCTTACAACGCGCTCCACCGACCGGCTTCCGAACGGGCCGCCTAGTGCAAAGCGCCATATCAACGCCGATCATTCGTGCGCTTATCCCCATCGCGCCGCCCGCAATAGTGCGGATTGAAGCAAGGGGCCACCTTCATTTGGTTCGCGCAATGATTGACCCTTGCGCACCAAACTCATTGGTTGATTCGGAACTGGTGAGAGATCTCCAACTGGAACGCAACGGATCCGGACGTCTGCAGCGTTGCACGGTCACCATGCGAGGAAGATACAGCAGCTCCGACCGCATTACGACACAAGCAGTCGTGCTGGACCACCATATACGACTGAGTCCACCGTCGAACCTGGACCCTAAGGTTGCGGCCCCGTTCCAGTTCATGCGCTTGGCGGATCCGCAATTCTTCCGCGCGTCACCAATACGCCTCACACTGGGCCTCGATCTGCATGCGCAGATGATGGTGAGCGGGACCCCCCATCCACCGTGGGTGGTCTCCTGGTCCAGGCGACCATATACGGTCTGGTTGTTTCGGGAGCCTGCCAACCATAAACGTAGAGATTAAGAAGACAAAACCACACATACACACACACTCATCACACACATACCTAAAAATTTAAATAAAAAAAGTGCATTGAAATTTCAAACCACGTCTGTTTCAATTAACAATGTCCTTTTCTCCACAGCCTCAGATGAACCGGTCGCGACGAAAGAGTTGGCGAATAAGCAGCCCCGCGCAGTACAAAATCCGCGCTGCATATTATAGTTAGTCCTTAAGACTTTCCTCACGTGCGTGTGACGGTTGAGACGCGACTCCTTTTCTTTTTCATAGCTTGCTTACCGCAAGGGGGCCGGTATGTTTAGGTCCGCGACCTAAATATATTGCACCACCCTAATCCGCGTTTTGTCACTTGATGTAAGGGCACACAAACACATACATAAGTTACGGCTATCTTTCCAGCCGCTAACAACAAGCCCCACTGTACGGTAACTTATTGGAGGGGAAACTTAACGAAAGTTACTGTGCGGTGGGCTACATCCCTTTTCGTTTGTTGGCACTTTTTCACTTCTTAGAAGACAGCAAGGAGATCACGTCAGCCATCACACCACGTTCGGTAAGCCAACTCTTGTGAGCCACACTCTTCAACCTCATAGATATTTACAAATAAAACGATTTTTAATTTCATTGCACTAAACCACTGTGTCTTTTATTTGCTCCTATTTTCGTTACATTAACTTTACGCTGGTGCGCTCCATCTTCGTGCGACGCCACCTGCGTAAATAGCTGCGGTGTTTCATTGGAATACTCTTCGTGTGTGTGCGAGAACCATTTTAGGGCCAGTGACTTTGTATTTGTTGCCCATTGCAACTGAGTGTTTTTAAGCGCTCTAGTTTGTTCCCAGGCACAGTACCTCTACGTTGCGATTCCCCAATGCTTCAATTATCCCAAGATTCGGCCGTCCCTGAGGTGTCTGTGGGGACGAAGTTAGCTGTTTATGCACATACCCAAACTGAGCAAGTGTGCTATAAACAAGCACGACCTGATCCACGAGTACACTAAAATACTATACAAGCACCCTTTAGGATCTTGAAATAGACTTAGGGCATACCACAAACTAGACTCCAAGTGATTGTAAGTAGTCCAAAGTTTGGGCCAAGCACATGTAAAATTCTATTTACATTTAACACTGAATGTCCTAGGCTCGGACCAATTGTCGGCTTCTGCATCACATTGTAACCAATGTTAGATATAAAAAAAATAAATAAAATGAAACTTTTGCCAGATGCGATTCGAACCGGGGTGCTAAGATTTTCTAAGCAGATACTCTCTGTGCATGCCAACGACGCACATGAAAATTCGATGACTAAGTGCCTACATATCAGTAAATCGTTAATTGTACCCGTTGTGCGCTACTGCGTGACATTGTAACCAATTTTAGATCAAAACTCATACCCTATGCATTACATACATTAGATACAAAACTTCTATACCTACGACTGAATTTTTCGAGCAACTGGACCAATATTTCCTTCAGGGCAAATGCTCCGCGAACACTAATGATAAAATTTGGTATATGCATAACAAAGGTTTAATTTCTTTGTTTACATTTTTTGACATTACAGTCAGCTATGACAGAGCTCGACCGAGTTGTCACTTCTACCTTGTTGAATATACCTTGATTAAAACCAGTTTTTTGGAATCATATATGTCATGGAATACCTCATATATTTCCAGTTTATTACCGGTTTATGCAAACACATATTTTAAAACTGTTTCGTTTAAACTATGTTAAACTAGGAAGGGTGTAATGTGGGATACACTCCCAATAATTTTCCCTTTGTTTAAAAGAAATTTTGTTGAAGACTTTTACCTTTGTAAACTTTGTTTGTTATCAAGAAAAATATATTATTATTAAAATTTCTTTCCTAGAAGATACAATCATCTTTTCAATTAAATATTCTATAGCCCGATAACCAACTTGAGATAATTTCTTTTGTTCAAAAATTCCACGGTTTCTGTTAGGGGAAAATTTTCCATTAATGGGCCAGGCTTTGAAAAAAAAGGTGATGAGGGGGTGTAGAGGGAGTCCCCCTGATTTTAAATCCGACGGTCCCCCCTCCGGAGGCTTATAGTTTTTAAGTGCTGCCACACATTCCAAAAAATATCGAAATACAAACTGAAAACGGAAACAATGAAAACGTACGTTTTTTGGTGCACATTTTCACTATATATCAAGGTACTGATTTAAAAAAATGCGGCGCAAGAAAAAATTTGCAATATATCGGAGTTTTTAATTTTTTTACGCACCCCCATTTTTTATTAAAAAATCGTGCGATTTTTGATTACAACTTTTCATTATATATCGAGGTATTGAATTAAAAAATAGCGCCGCAGGCGAAACTTTGTTATAAAACATCTCGCGGTTTTTAATACAAATTTTCAATATTTATCAAGGTATTGAATTAAAAAAAAGCACCACAAATTACAAATTTTCAATATTTATTGAAATATTAAATAAAAAAAAGCGCCGCAGGCGAAAATTTGTATTAAACCTTCGCGCGATTTTTGATTAAAAATTTTTAACATTTATTGAAATATTGGATAAAAAAAGCGGCGCAGGCGATAATTTGTAATAAAATATAGTTTTACCTTAAAGTTTATATATTTTATAGAGTTTATATTTCGTAATACCTCACAAAGTATTTTTGGATAAAGTTTTCAACGATCTGGCATTACATACTTCGCGACAATCGCACAACAATTGTGTGTTTACAGATTGTTGGCGAATAGAAACTTANGGAAATATTAAATAAAAAAAAGCGCCGCAAGCGAAAATTTGTATTAAACCTTCGCGCGATTTTTGATTAAAAATTTTGAACATTTATTGAAATATTGGATAAAAAAAAGCGGCGCAGGCGATAATTTGTAATAAAATATAGTTTTACCTTAAAGTTTATATATTTTATATAGTTTATATTTCGTAATACCTCACAAAGTATTTTTGGATAAAGTTTTCAACGATCTGGCATTACATACTTCGCGGCAATCGCACAACAATTGTGTGTTTACAGATTGTTGGCGAATAGAAACTTATTAAAAGAACACTTTTATAAGCATGAATTGTTAAATATTTAGTTAATAAAAAAATTATAGTTTAAAAAACTAAAACCTCCCTATTATAATTGCCATTCGTACTGTCATCAGCTATGTAACTTGAGAATAGAAACCGCTGCATCTTTTAGGCGCACCAATATTACATAGATACATCCCGAGCTAATAAAAGGAAGGTAAAAAGATGTGCATTCATTTGTTTATAGAGAAAAGATGATATAATAATGGAAAGAAAAGTTGTTAGTGCAGTGTTTATATAAAAATATGTGAAGTAAAGGGGAAATNTGCATTCATTTGTTTATAGAGAAAAGATGATATAATAATGGAAAGAGAAGTTGTTAGTGCAGTGTTTATATAAAAATATGTGAAGTAAAGGGGAAATTTTAACAACAAATATTTAACTTTAAAACTGTTAGCATTTCTACACAATATGTAGAAGATATCGGTCAAAGCGCACTTGGAGGTCACACTACCGCTGGGTACTCACGTTGATGACACACCAATTCCGACGATGAATAACCCCAGCAGGATATAATAAGGACCCACGTCCGAACTTTCCTGCTGAAGAGGCTTTTCGAGCCGATAAGCGTGACAACCTTCGTCAGGCCGATACCGGAAATCCCAGTATCAGGGATGTCAATTCGGAGATTCGGCAACTTGTGAATGTACATACATAAGCGGAAGAAATGGGAAGAACATTTGAAGACCTGCAACTTCCCCTCTGGTGTAAGTAAGCTTTAGTCAACCGTGAGGTCATTGTCCAACCCGGCGAAGCGTGACGACAGAGTTGAAATAGACNGTCAATTCGGAGATTCGGCAACTTGTGAATGTACATACATAAGCGGAAGAAATGGGAAGAGCATTTGAAGACCTGCAACTTCCCCTCTGGTGTAAGTAAGCTTTAGTCAACCGTGAGGTCATTGTCAAACCCGGCGAAGCGTGACGACAGAGTTGAAATAGACTTTGGTAACCACGCTTCGTCGGACCCGGAGCGATGCGCGAGCTATTTTAGCCGGAAGTTCATTCTGAATCCTCCGGTGGATAAAGCCAAACGTCGAGTGACCGGAAGGCTGCACAAAATGCCAAAACCCAGTGCGCCTCTTGTTTTCACCAGCGGTGCGGTAAGGGTAGCCATCGGGAAGGCAAAAGCCTCCAAAGCCATTGGAACCGACGGAATATGCATGTTGATTAGAGTGGTCGAAAATAATAAAGTCGGAATTTTAATGCCGCCACCTCCTAGGATTGTTCTGAACCGCAAATAAATATACCCCTATTTTTTATTTTGAAATCAAAAAATATTTAGGGAGTGCTCACAGCGCTCAAAGTTGTCCATGTATTTTATATGGGGAAAAAACAAATTTTCGTAAAAATGGCATAAAACTCTTGAAAATCAATATTTTTCAATCGTAAAACTGTAGTTCTCTTCAGGAGACTTCAAATATGGATATCCAATTGTTTATTTAACAATTTTTTATGATTAAAGATATTTTATTGGTCCCCCCATTGCATTTTCAAGGACCCATAAAATATAGTCACCATGAAAAAATTTTTACAGGAATAATTGGGTATTATTACCGGGAATCTCCTGAAGATAAGCAAAGTTTTCCGATCGAAAAATATTGATTTTCAAGAATTCTACACTATTTCTACGAAAAGTTGTTTTTTCGCCATATAAAATACATTGAAAACTTTGAGCGCTTTGAGCACACCCTAATTTTTTTTTATTTCAAAATAAAAAAAGGGCATAATTTTTTTTGGTATAGAACAATCCTAGGGGCATGCTGATGCTGAAAAATTTGGGTCCTGCAGTAGTAGCGTACTGAACGGACGTCCTCAATTTGTCTATGGCCACTCTCGTCATTCCAGACATCTGGAAGATGGGAAGAGTGGTCCCACTGCTCAAACCGGGGAAACCAACCAACAAAGGAGAGTCTTATCATCAGCAAGCTACGTAAAATTAAACAGGGGGTACCACAGATTTCTGTCCTGTCCCCACTACTGTTTAATTATTACATCTCACAGCTTCCTCAACCACCAGGGGGTGTTAACAAATATTGTCTCTTATGCTGACGATTGTTCGATCATGGCATCTGGAAATGGAATTGATGACTTGTGCTCGAAGTAAACGGTTATCTCGCCGAAAATTCTCGCTTCCTCACTGCGAGGAGCCTTGCCCCATCTCCTGCGAAATCCTCGGCAAACCTATTCACCACCTGGACGAAGGAGGTCAGACTGCAACTGGGTATTCACGTTGATGGCGTAACAATTGCGACGGTGAAGAACCCGAAAATCTTCGGAGTTACCTTCGACAGTATATTCTCCTTCTCGGCGCATACAACCGCAATCAACAAAGTCAACAAAGTATAGAGCCGCAATAATGTCCTCAAGTCGCTGGCCGGCAGCACTTGGAGCAAAGATAGAGAAGCGTTGTTGGCAACATACAAGGCAATTGGCCGGCC